AAGATGTCCTGAACAGTCTCCTAACACTCGCTGCTTCTGACCTTTCTGCAAAATATCAAACTCTACTAGTCATTTTGCTACGTGAGTGGGTTCCGAAACAGGCTGCTAAAAGAAGCGTCTTAAACTTGTGGAATGTGTTGGCATTCAAGTATTGGTGTAATAATCTGTCAAGGAAACAAATCAGCGATCCCAACTAAATTATTTTATCTGCAACATCGGATTTGTTCTGCACAGATCCCGTCTTGCGATTGGTATACTCAACACAAACATCTGACTTAGCCAAAGAAAGGTACTTTTACTTTGCATATTCGTCGACTCAATTGTAAATTCAAACGAGCCCTAGCCGGTAATCGATTTGTCTACATGATTGCAAGACTGCCTTCACATGGAAACGGCGCAGTTTGATTTTTTTAAGTTTTAAGTTCTTTCCTTCTAGGAAACTACTTAAGGCAAAACAAAGCTAAACGACCTGCCAAATAAGGGCGGATAGTCGAATTCGTGACTTTTTTTTACTGCAGTATTCCTTAGCTCTTAAGTTTGTACGCATAAGCATGTGAGCTTACTTTTCGTTCGCGTGTCGTAATTTGATTGACCACTGATGTAATTAATCTTCGACTCGAAACTTCTTACTTTTGATTATAATCTAAAACGGAAACGTTTTGGGGCTTTTGCACTATCCATATCTGTACAAAATCGCTATGTTTTCCTCGTGCCTCTACTTTTCGTTTCCAAAAATAAAGCGCTAAAATATTCGCTGTTTACAATGTCATTGTAAACAATTGTCTGTCGGCATGGGGTTCAAGTGAACGGTAGTGAAGGGTCATTAATTTATCATGAGCTGACATTTGCGTGTCCTTGAGAGTAGCGATTGAAATGGTCACGCAAGAAGCACACGGGTATGATAATCATTTTAAGGTTAAAATATATAATGGTTTCCTACATGACACACTCAATCTGATAAAATGCAAACATAGACATGAATGTCGTGTCTGTGATTCGGCTCAACGGAGTTGTGAGTATTCGTCTACAGCGTCCCCTATCGTTTTTGTGCGAAAAACCTTTTTGAGCGAAAGCGATCACACAACACAAGGTGCAATTTTCAAGTTTTTTCGTGAATATCATCATCTTGTTTGGGCATATGCGAGTAACCCTGTAATGATTTCGCAGCCATCGGGAAAGAATGTCACGCAATTCTTCAATATCATGTGTTCCAACAGTGACCACTTGATCACCATGGCTTACATCGAGGAAGTTTAGCTTAGCACATGTATAATGGGTTAGATGCTTAAATTAGCAGTCGTGGAGTGAATGAGGATAAATGGCAACAATCGCACTCCGGACATGTGTGTCATTTAAAGCTTTGCAGAGTTATATATATATATATATATATGTATATATAGTTTAACTCAAATATATTCAAAACTGTTCTGTTCCAGAATCGAATCGCTTTAATTGTCTCTAGAATACGAAACATCCACGCTGATGGCGATTCCAGGATGGAAAGCTGTGCTTCTCTTGTTTGCCGTGGTAGTGCTGATATTGGTAAGTCAGTCTCCCACAACTATAAATATTTAATAAATACTTCTAAAATCTAATTGTGGAGTGTTCAGTGGAAGTGCTTGTTATTGCATTTTTTTTGTAGCGGCATTGGGGCCATTGGGGCCATTTTTTTTCGGTTGTTTCCACAGTTTGGGGTCATGCGCAATTCGATGATGTTGATTACCCAAAATGCACCTATAGTTACTCTTACACATGACATCATTCTAAGAACTGATTCATTTGATAAGTACTCCTCCTGACTTAAGGAAGGGGAAGGGGGGTCATTGCTGGATAAGACATCGTTCCTTTACCCTGATAGTCTTATTGAGGTATTGAGGTTAAACTTGGTTGGAACAGGTTATCCACGTCTTTATTTACACTTAGATACAAACATTTAGCATGCAAATGATCATTGCTCAGATGCCTGAACTACCTGTAATTTCGCCGTTGGTTTCATCTTCAGTGTAACCTGTATTGTAAAACACTTTAGGAGCCAAATGCGAACACTTGTGATAGTCAGTCGAATGGAAAATACTATAATTGTTTGTTCATCCATCCGTTTACAGAGCCAGGTATTGTTGCAATGGTGGTGGTGGCGGCTAGACCATATCGCAGGAACTAATAACACCTGTTTACCAGGAAATTACAAGTTGATCGGCAATGACAGTACTATCATTAAATGTCAGCCCTGTCATCCCTGTGGTACAGGCATGAAGCTTACTCCGCCATGTGGCAGAACAGTGACTCTCGATACCATTGTGATGTGTGTGCCAATTTCAATTCACGCCACTGAGAGGATACCAAGGAAAACTCATTTGCCTACGGAGGGGATTAAACTTACATACCTTTCAAATGGCAAAGGAACCAACCATCTCAGCATCCGAAATGGAAAAGTTTTCACCTGGTCTCCTTTGGAGGTGAACGATATCTATAAGACGGAGAGGCTTGATAACTCAAACTCATCAAAACTGGATGAGCATTTTTTTTCACATAAAAGGTCTACACCGGATATACCACGCACGACGACGGTTCCATCTAGAGCACATTCCCTTCCGTATACGGTTAAGCGTTGGGAGAAGAAATATGACAACCAGTCATTACTATTAAGTAGACCACGACGACCGTTGATACAGCAATCGAAAAGGCCAAAACATTTCACAACACCATACATAGAAGGGTTGCATGGAAAAACATCTAACGCCACCTGGGGATCTCAGATTATAAACATTACTTATGTGCTGGGTGGTTTTCCGTCGGTCGAAGTTGTGGTGGTTGTTGTGCTTGTCATAATTTCCGTATTGCTTGGATTTGTGGTGTGGCTTCTGAATAGTATCAGACACATTATTTGGAATAAGGATTGCCGAGACTATCAGAGATTAAAGAGCGCAGAGTCAATTGAAGGTGGGCGAAAAATCATTATGTGTATTGTAATTATTTTTTAGGAACTTAATTCCGCATCGTGTTTGCTTAAAAAAAATACCCATAAATCTTGTGTCCTTTTTCGTTTTATACACATCTTTCTTCGGTCACAAAATCAATCTGTGTACATTAATAAATAATCGTGCTTATTGGTTCTAAATTGCACCCGAAATCATTTAAATATCTTTTCACATAGAGCGTCAACTTTGCGTATTATTTCATCTAACTCGTTTACCTTGTTCATCTGTTTTCATAGAAATGTCGTACTCCTCTGACGATGCTGATCATTTAAACGTAAAGAATTCAACCGACCTGTCTACCTCTCCTGATGATCTTAAAGGTGAGAGGCTGCATCTGCGTTATAAATATACCCCATTACTACCGTATTGATTTGATTTAGCGCCTGGGCGCTTATTGACTTATGGTACCTTAAGGGAGGGCCCCTATTCAGAACAGGGCGCTTGTTAGAGACAGGGCGCTTATTTCTTTTTTGAAATACAGCAGTATGCGCGAAACAAAGCTTTGATGTCTACCCAAAAGGATCAGGAAGACTGGAAAATGGACTTGCTCCTGATTCTTCCTAGGCAGATCGACCAGCCAAGCAAAATAATAATAATCGCTGCAAAATATGAAGACGAGGTCATTTGCTTGAAGGAACTGTGCACTCACGTGAGCATAATAGAGAGACTGTGAGGAAGACCACTGTCTTTGCAATGAGGACATTAGAGGAAAATGAGCCCCTTTATGTAATGTAATGGTACTCGAACAGTGATATTACTGAAACAGAATAGGGACACTTATCCGAATAGGAGTGCTAATTGGAATGAGGCCGCTCATTGGTATTCGGGCTTTTTTAAAAAAGAGCAAATTCGATGGAGCCCCTCATAGAGAGACAGCGCTTATTGGAACGAAGCGTTGTATCGAATCAGTACAGTACGTCATTCGTTGAAATTCACAAGAATACATATCTGGGCCATTTACCAAATATTAGCCAGATTTAATGCCTCTTGCTGTTGACTTCAAACGATTTCAGGTTGCCGAGGAAATCCGAGTTTCAACTATGACAAAATTCTTCAATTTTTCAGGTCTCATTTTGTCCGAGCTACCTCCAGATCTTGAAGTCTTACTGGTAGAGAAACTGGACGTGCGACGCAAAGGTGAACATCGCTATGGTTGGCAAAAAGTGGGTGCTGCGTTTGAGATCTGCAGAGATGAACTCCGTCACCTAAAGATTGAATACAAAAGAGAAAACGGAAGTCCAACCAGCAAGCTGTTATTGAAACTTGGAACTTCTAAATGTGCGACAATATCCGACCTCATCAATGTATTGAAGAGTCATAAAGTAAACCGCCCCGATGTCGCGTCTCGCGTCATTCAATTCATTCAAGCAGTCAGTAATTCCCAGCATGCATAATAACGATTTTTTTTATTTGCGCGGGTAAGATTTTGGCCTTTTAACCCCGCTGCCTGTTGCTGTCCAGAAAACAGTTTAAGGAGTACAATTCTGTTTAAGGATTAAACAGGGTGTAAATTTTTTTTTTCATAGAAGCTGCTAAACGGATGTTTGTCAAATCAAAAAATAGCACATTCAAAATGCAATTTGACAATTATTCAAATCCTATGGAAATTCATTCTTTTAGTTCTCTGTTTCTGATTTGATGAGGTATAGGGATCTAGGACAGTTCGCCACAAAACAACCTACCGCCTCATCTGACTGTAAACATTTACGAAACCTGTATTATAGTGTAAATAATTTCGTTTAGTGTAAATAAAAGTTTATTTTAAATGTAGTGAAAACCATTTTCATTAAACCTCCTGCTATCGTAGAAACATGCGCCCAAGCAGGAAATAACACGAAGCTTATGTGGGCTTAACATTTGATTTAATTCCAATTACTTGACGGATAGACACTACCACCCATTTTTACCGGTGTTCCCTTGAAAACGGTGTCAAGAAATGTCTAAATATTTCTGAATATGTTATGATCGTTTGATTGATAAATTAGAATACCACACCTACGCTGCAGCCCCTTACATAGAAACACCCTAATTTCGATTTCATGCGCCTGTAACTAAAAGAACAAGTTTGGTAATCCAAACTTTTTATCATCGAATTGAATCAGCAGGTCAATATTTATCTATCAGCCAAGTTGTATGCTGATTGGAATCATTGATAAAATCAAAGGCTTCTCAGAGCTTGCAGCGAAACTAAAAAATCATAGCAATTATAGAATATCATTGTTCACAACCAGAAGACGCGCCAAGCAGATAATGAATCTTACAGGTTTCAGGTGGTAATTTGCATGCATAAATATCGGTGGCGAGTGCGCAGCTAACTCCCAAACTTCCAAGGGTTTCCCGCAAACATGAGTAGTCACGTCTTTAAAGTGTGAACGAACGAGCATGTTTCGCACCAAATGGAGGATATTGTGTTTAATGATATTCCTTTGGTTTATTATCCTTTAAATAAAATCGAACCTGTATTAAGCGGCACCATACTTAGCGGTCATCCAGTATTAAGCGGTCTGTTGTCGAAATCCCGAAATTTTTTTCCCTTAAGCACAGTAATTTTCATCTCTATTAAGCGGTCACACCTTTATTAAGCGGTCGTGGTCATCCTTGACTAAGTCCCAAAGGCTTGTTTGTATTGTTCTCCTGGCCTATCTATATTAAATGATTACTTAAAGTGGAACCACTCGAATAAAACTAAGAGTAATCTTTCGAGTCAAATTCATTTTATGTTTATCTCACGGAATGAATATTAGTGTTTTGAGTTGAAATGCCCTCAATATATTGCAGACTATCTTTCTTCCTAAGTAATATTGTTAGGACAAATATTACGCACCAATGTCACGCAAGTTATTTGCTGGTCAAACTGTATGAAACGGTCAGGCCGCTATTCCTCGTGTATAACTGCTTAATACAGGTTCAAATGTTTTTTTGTAACTTATGAAAAAAACATGTTTGCGAACGGCTAGCTGTTCATTAAGTGGGTTGTTCAGTTTCCGGTGCTGTCTTCGATATAAACTTGCACGAGAATTTGCAGCGTTGGGTATCTTCAACAAATATCTATAATAGTGGAGCATTTCCGTTAAAGAAAACTGGGCCAGTTAAGTTTTAGGGTTCAGATTTGAAGAGAGATTCTGTCTCCGAGTTATTTTCACACACAAAAACATTTTTGATTAAAGTCAGATTAGTTACATTGATGATTTCTCTTTCGAAAAAAAGTGAATAAAAGAACGAGGTGAAAGAATGCCAGATGTAGCTAGTGACTCTGCTCTGACTCTACTCATTAGTTCTGCGCCGGAATAGAAAAAACCCTTGAATTGTTAGGCAGAGAAAGTGCAACTATTGTTCACATGCGCAAAAACGATTAATTCTGTACTTCTGTCATGGTCTCAAGATTATTCTTTTGGCATCTCGGGTAAAGATCTCACACAAAAACCACTCTCATAAAACTTGGGACCGCGTTACACTAATGCGCAAAAATAGCAGGATTTCAAGTTACCAAGAGGATTGCCGGCGAATTTTTAGCCTAAAAAAAAAAACATAAGAGTAAAAAAAAAAAACATACATCAATATAAATCCCGACCGTTTACATAATCGGAGAGAAATTTATCAATTCGATCTCGGAACCAGAGGAACTGGCACTAGCTAATTTCGATTTTTTCTTTACCAAGCTCTCCGCAAAATCAGATGAAAGTTACGTCTTCACACCAGAAGTATCAGGAGTCGATCTGGTTAGTTCAGAGCAAGCATGAGAAGACATCGTAAGGTACTATGCCTTATAACTAAAGAACAGTATCGCTGTTCAATGATATTTGTCACCTGTACTGCTTGATATTCTGATTTACAACAGCAAGCTTAGAGAGGCTTTCGATATTCTTTTAAGCTTAAAGACAAATTTCCACAGTTACTACACGTTACTCGTTTCAACATTGAATTATATAAAACGTGAAAGTAATTTATTCATAGGGGCTTGTAACAAGCTGTTGATTCATAAGATGTGAAAATTCATATAAGGGCTTAAGGAGGGTAAAGCGACGAGAACTTCAATTAGTATACCTCAACGATTTAACGCTAGGTAAACATTAGGAAGTCACACTATAAATTTCGGCATATTCACTTCCCACGCTACTCATCCGTTTAGACTGAAAATCAATTGATTTTACAACGTTGGGTTTTTAATGCTGTCTTTCTTCTCTCAATTCAGGCTTCGATACTCCCCACAAGTTCAATTAGGATGGAGTTTACAGATTCCCTCGCTTATTTGATAAGAGAAGCCATGGAGCTGTCTGTTCATGAGCGTACAAAGATCCTTAGATTTATTTGGATCATCTTTGTTACATTCATAATTTGCTTTGTAAGTGTCAGTTCAATTGTTTTTCTTTGACTATATGTTTGAATAAAGTAAGCAGAAGAACTAGAAAACTAATGTACGAAATTAATTTAAGTCTAGAAAGCAATTACATGCAGTCAAGTAACTTCAAGTATAACGCCACTTTTTATCTAGATATATTTGATTCCAAGCACGGTTCCTAAGAGAATTATTAAGATTTACTCGCCGCTACTTGACAACTTGTGGTCTGATTTCGCTCTCTAAATTATATTAATTTCGTTTGCGGCCGGTCTCAATGAATTATAGAGACCTTTGTGTCAGGTTTGTTACCTGATTTTAAGGCCAACTACAGCAAAACAAATCGCCTCTAGCATCTAAATGCTAAAGGTATGCTGACGTGAAATGGCAGTATTCATATGCGAGCACTCTCGGTAGAATATGCGATAACGTACAACTCATCATAAGGAAAACTTTGAACTCGTAGAGCAATTCAAAAGCAGCAGCAATTAGGGATTTGTGAAGGAACTGCAATTCGCTCAATGTTCTTAACCAGTGGTAGTCACGCGAACTACCCTATTTGGTAAAGCCAATAAACATTCTCAGAGTCACCTGATTATATTGCGAAACTTATATAACGAATTCCGATCACCGTAGATAACACCGATGGAAAGGTTCATTTAATTGATGAAAGGGTGCTTGCATTACTTAATATTTTATTTTGCTTCTCAGAAACAGCTGTATACTATTTAGAACATACCCCAAACTAACGACAACCCAAGCGAAACATGCACAAGATCATCATACCAGATTCTTGGAGGACATAATTCGATAACCGGATGCAAAGAATGCCCAGACTGTCCCCCAGGACAACAACTTACCCCACCATGTGGCAGCAAAGTACAGCCAGATGCATTAATAAATTGTACCGTTTGCCCCTCGGGAACCTTTAAAGACATTAGCGGAAGAGGTATTTGTAAACTGTGTCTGACATGCGGTCCAAGAGTAACCGTTAGCTCATGTACATCGAGCAAAAATGCACAATGTGGGACCTGTCCTCGTGGTACCTTCCAATGGAGCCCCACAGTGGACACTTGTAAACAGTGTTCGTCGTGTTGTGCGCCGAAGCGCTTTGCTGAGGTGGAGTGCTTTTATCTCAGGCAATGCTTAAGAACAAACTGCACTCAAGAAATAGAAAATGAGGGAAATGATATTCAAAAATTGGAGATAAATTCTCAAAGGTTTGCGACGATAATAAATCCTCCAAACCCAGCGCCACTTCTAGGTGTTTCTAGCAGTAAAAATTCAGGCAACGCAAAGAAATTGGCATTGAAGAACATTTTGAAAAGAACGAGAGTAACACGAGATGTTCCGCAGGTCCTGCAAGGAGTCAGTGAAGGAAATACCACTAAACTGGCAAACGAAAAAATCGCCACTCTTCTCAGCAATAATTCAGATACTGTTATAACCACCATCACCAAATCATTCGAGGAATTTGGAACTGTCTCCACTGACTTCAACACTGTCGATTCCAATTTGCAAATGGCTTCAAGCTGTTTTGGAATGAACTTCGCAAAACTAGTGAAGATTATAATAATCGTTATTGTGGCCATATCTATTTTGGCGCTGTTCACAGTTTGCGTCATAGTATACTTCTGTTGTAAAAGGCAGTCAAGACATCTTCAGCCTAGATATTGTGTGTTTAATTGTTGTATAAATCTGAAGAGTACCGAAGAATATAAACAGCTACTGGATGAAACAACTCATCAAATCGGTAAGAAAAAAGTCTCTACCAGAAAATCTATGTATAAACTAAAGGCAAAGATCTTTGAACTGTTGAGACTCATTGCCTGAAAAATGATTCTACTTATCAAACAACCCCAGCAAATTTGACACGTCCTTGATCAAAATAAACCGCCAATCTCATTTCTTGGGGTCCATGGCCATTTATTACCCTCGGATAACTTAACTGTAAGAATCACAGCCACAGTATTTTCACAATTTATGTACTTGCTTCATAGAGAAGAGGCCATTCATTTTGGGTTCTAAGCATCCTACTTTCTCTGTATTCATGCAGTGTTTGCACTTTGATTAGTCTCTGGCTTGTAAGAAATTTTTCTGTAAGTTTTTTTCTGTAATCAGCAAATAAACTTAGTTTTGTAAGTACATATGATGTTGGTAGGGTTAAAAAAAGAAAATGACAAAAATGTACGATGCAATATTAAGGAGTGTCAAACTAATGAGAGTCAAGCTACCTAAAATTTATTATATTTTTTTCTTTTGTGTAGGATCTCGCCACTGTCTCTTTTCATTTTTTTTTAGGTGACGACACACAAGTCTCTCTAATCAATGGCAATTTGGAAGGCAGCTTTTCTGAGAAAAGCACATCTGCTGCTGGCCTTGAAAGTGAGTAACTCTAAAAGAGAGGTTCTTTTTCAATCAAAAGATTTCTTAATGAAAAAAGACAAGATGAAAAGTTCTAGTGATACAGTATTAATAATCTTATCTCACTTCAATCACCTATATGTACCTAAATTCCAGATACACCCTTAAGTGACATATCCCCCTTTCTTGAAGACATCCTCGTTAAGAAACTTGAAGTGGACTGTGGTTGGAAAAAAGTGGGAAAGGCATTACAGATTGACCAGGACGATCTGGATTACTGGGAAAACGGAAAGTCAATGGAAAGTCCAGCTACAGGAGAACTGTTAAGAAAACTGAGAGCGACACGTCCAGAATTCACCATTGCTGACCTTATAGATATCCTAGAGAGCCCAGACGTAAAACGTCGAGATTTTGTTCAACGCATCCGTCTACATTTACAAAATGAAGTAAAATGAATACCTTGACTCCAAAAAGCAGAGAAAGAGTTGCAGACAGCTACCTGGTATGCATGTAGCTGATGAATGAAGTTCACGTGTAGTTTTGAGTACATTTTTGGGGGGTCTAAAAATCATTGCTTACAGCCCACTCTGAGTGGCTAATTCAAACCGTTTATTTTAAGGGTCAATTTTTTCAATCTTTCTACATAATAGATATCAATCAAACCTTTCACTGATGCATGTCAATAAGCCATAAAAATTAATAACCTGACTGACTTAAATCTCCTAGTGTTATTTTTAAAAATTTCAGTCTGATGACAATTAATGTATGTTATATCATGCAAAATAACACTTTGCGTGAGATAACCTAACTACCAGTAAATGTAGATTATAATTAGTGATTATAATGTTCACGGGGAATTGCATGAATTTGTCAGGAAACATAATACTGGAGGTATTATTTTTCATCGAGGGCTGTGGCACTTGTGAAAGTAGCAAATTAACTCTAAAATGATAAAATGTCACCTTCTCTCCTCCAAAAATTATAGGATATTTACAACTCAGTAGTTTAAATAGATGAAACATCATTACACTTAAACACAGTTGCATTAGTTATGTAAGTAAGTTTAAAGTTCAGGGCCCAGTTGTTCAAAGGCCGATTTGTGTCAGCCCAGGGTTAAATTTTAATGCAGGTTTCTATACTTCTTTTTTCCAAACCCTTTTAGTGAAAATTTTCCCTATTCTTTTTAGAACATTCAATGATCAAATTGCAAGCAAAAAGTTTTAACCGAATTTTCTTTTAAAGCTTTCAGACCTGAAATCAAATTCCATGCTAACCTTGGGTTATCTTAACTCAGATTTGAACAACCCGGGCAAGACATTTAGACTTTATTGACAACGTTTGAGGTTATCTTCTGGGAGATAGCTTCCAACACGAAAAAAACAGCAAAATGTAGTTCTTCCTCTAAAAAACCTGATTACATTTCCAGTTAGGGTGGTCCTAACTAATAATCACATGTAGACTGAATTATGAAATTGGCTAGCTGGAAAACAATCATTCAATGATTTTCACCGGAAATGTGCTCAATGGTGGACTAATTGCGAATAGAGATTTAGCTACAGTGAGAAATTATCTTAACTTAGTGGATTTAACTTTTTTGAGGTACCCAATCAGGTTTTTGGAGAATAATTGTGTCACATAATTTCTCCTAATAATATCTAGTGTAGCATAAAAAGTAGGCAGGTGATGAGAACAAAGAAAGGTACAACGGCAACCAGGACACCATCAATTAATTCACTACTAAATTCTCAGAAATACCATTAGAAATGAAAGTTAAATCATGAGGAGAGTTAGATTTTGAGAGTGAAAGGGTTAAATGTAAAATGATCTGTAAAGTAAGATAAAACAAATAAGCACTAATGAAAAGCAGAAACAGTTGAAATTATTATTTTTTTACATAGTTGTCATTAAATATTGTTTTTAGTGAAGGTGCTGTTTTGCATAATTAAAGTACTGTTATTATTTTTGTATGCTTGATTTTTCTGTGCAGTGTATTGTGCATTTTGATACTTATAATGGTTATAATGCCTGAATAGGATTTTCCCTTGATAAAGAATATTAATTTAGCTCCGTGTATTTAATCCTATTTGTAACTACTGAGAATCAGGTCGCATTTACAGTGACATTTCGCTAGTAAAGGATCGGTAACGTAAGTATGAACCCCTAAAAGGTGTTTCGATCGATCGGTACCTTCCACAGTTTCTAAAAATATGCTATCTGATGTTTTTACAAGTGATAACAAAAAAAATCGGGCGACATGACGAATATTTTAGGCGACGTGACTCAGGTTCCGGGTGACGTGACGTCGGGCGAGCTGACTTCCGGGCGACTTGACCGTAAACCGAGTACAGTAACTTATTTCAAACCTAATCTTGAAATCATTATCTACAGTAGAAAATTCTTCTGAAAACACATAATTTTTAAACCTAGACGAGACTAATTATAATCAAAGAAACAAGCAGGCAATTTCCAACTAATACTTTCCCAATTAAACAACCAAGACCAATTTCCCTCTGGCACCTTTTCCTTCTGCACTATACATGCATGTATCGGCAACTTGGCTCAACTGATACTCTTTTCCAACTATTGGACAAGTAAGCCCTACGTGTAAACTTGCTCCTATTGCAGATGCTATCTCTTCACACGCAATCTGTTAGATACAAAAACTACATATTTCTTATACTTTTTTTTTTTAAGCAGATCAAGAAATAAACTTCTCGTTCGTGCACTTCGCGGTGCTTTTTAGCAGAACGAGGAATGCACTTCTTGTTGCGCAGTGCATCTAAGTAGAACATGGAATACTCGTGTTGTTGGTGCACTCTGTACAGTGCTCTTTTGGTAGAACGTAGAATATTATTGTTGTTTCTGCACTTTGCGTGGTGCTTTTTAGTAGCCTGTGGAGTGCTCTTGTTGTTTGTGCACTTCGCACATGAGGATCACGGATCGGCTAGAAAACTTTAGGAGTCGTAGACGATCCGTAGGGCTCGTACGAATCATCAATCCGTTTATGGCCACACAGCCTTACGATTCGTGAACATATTAGACACTCCGTACGGACCGTACGGATCGACAACTCAGTTTTACCATTCAACAATATTCGGTGGCCATGTTGGTTGGGACAAGTGCGTCCAGGGCTATATGAGCAACCAAGAGCATCCCACAGACACCGCTGGACGCGTTGATTGCGGGGACGTAAACAGACCAAATTGGCCATCCAGCTGAGCCGAGCACGTTTTCAAATAATCTGGACGGGCCTCTGGTGGGACCTGAAGCTGCTCAAGAGTTGAAGATGTATTTAAATCCGACCCAAACTGTAGAGGGTGAGAAACCTTCGATTTCCTCTAGACCTAAAATCAGTTCTTGGCCCAGCGGGTTATAGGGAACTGTTGGATTTTCCACCAGTTGCCCTCTTGTGCGAAGCGACCATCCCTTCAGAATATGTAGTACTATCTCGCCTAAACCTTCAAAATTATGGAACTTAGTGTTAAACGTAGCCGGCCATCAGGGTTGCTGATGAATTTCATCACATTCAAGCCATCTATGATTACGCGTGGAGTTTTGGCACCCACCGTCTGCACACATTTTCCTCAGAGCCGATGGTAATTACAACCAGGCCTTCATTAGGCAAAGCCTCCCAGGGGCTACAGCTTTCGCAGATTACAGTCCTGATGATAAAAATATTTGCAGAAATTTCAATCGAGTTAGAGGCTGTACTCTTCACGAGTGTCACTTCGCCGATGTTTGCAACCGTAAGGTAAATGAAAAGGCGTATGGGAGTCTCTCCTTTTACTCATACGAAGGGCTAACGCTTGAAACGTCAGCTTTAGAAATTCTTTTAGAATCCTGTTTTCAAATTCGTTGTTTTTCCGAGGAAAAAAATCAGAGATAATTTTCCGCCTGAAAACAAAGGCTATCAGTTCGATTTCTCTCCAAACAAAGAAGGATCATGAAGCGTGTTCCTCCTATTTAAAGTTCATTTAAATGTTCTGTGAAAGCCTAGTTTTTACAATTTGCATCAACCAATTTTCCTGGCATAAAGCGCGTATTTTATCATAAAAGAAAAGACAAAATATAAACGCTTTTAAAAGGGCAAGAGGTCCATAGCGAGAACAATTATGTTCGGGGTCTTGAGCGTAGCCGATGGCCATTAGAGACATTACAACGCCAATCTCCAAACAAATTACCACGATCTTATTAGCGCGACCTTCCTTGCCATGCAAGGATGGGTTGAGGTTAATTTGCGTTTATTAATCTTTAAAGGAAGAGCGAAAGATACCAAAATATGGAAAAAAATCCTTGTGCACCGGCTACTGTCGATGAAAATAAGGATAAAGCATTCCGACCTGTTAGGATGCGTCAGAAAGACAGCCAAGTTGACATTTAACTAGGATTATAAAGTCCTTCCGGTATATGAAAGGAAAGAAGAATGTCTCCTTAAACATAAATGTTTCCTGTCATTAAGTCCTTTCTGTATTATTCACGATAGAATGATCCGGTTTGAAGTTTAAACGAAAAGTATCCAAGAGCTTAATATAATCACCCTTGGTTGACCAATGACAAATCAGTACAATTTCCGAGAAAGCGGCCGCAAATTTGCATTAATCTTCACCAAGCAAGGTCACGCTCATCACGACGGGTATTAGTGTTAGTACATCTACTTGTGGATTTTCCAGCAACACAGCATTATATCCGTTTATATACTCCGGGAAGGTATCTTCTAATTAAGACTCAAATTTATCTACGATAGGGCTATCGAAGGAGAGACTCTTCTGGACGTATAACTCCTGTATACCGTTCACAGGAAGAACTGCTCAACAGGAATTCAGTCTCGAACAGACCAAGCAACATACTCTCTCCTTCTTAAGACCTCGACGGTAAGGATGTAGTTAATTCTGAATTCCACGTTCTGAAAGTTGCGTTGTTTTTAAGGCCGATCTTATGTTTTCAAGAACGGTGGAGATAAGAGTAATCGTAAACTAAACCAATACGTGTCTTACGAGTTCAATATCAGTTGCTGATGATTGTGGATGTTGAAAATTGATATTTTGTTGTGCAATTTCAAAGATTAAGACATAAAATGACCAATTTTCTTCAGAATAATATGGACCATTTTTCCTTTCAACAGAATAATTCAGTGATGTTGCGGCGTTACTATGGTAGAGTCGTGTGAGACCTTTCACGACCTGCATCAATTGCCTCTACATTCTCGATCTCAAACGGAAGGCTTACATAGCGTAGAAAATTTTTAAGCCTTACAACGAATATTTAATGCATCGTATACTTTGTTGATAAATAATTATTCTAGTTTGCTACACAGTCAATTTTTGCCTATTTTCACTTGGGGGGAAGAAAGGAAAAGTGAGTTCTTTGACCAAGAAAAAAAATTACTCTTACCTTCCGAGAGTTTAATTATAAACAACATGGCTGCTATCTGTTACGAGTTATGCTAAGTTATCGCGCTAGTAACGGAATCTCCGTTAAATGCGCGTCAGGTTTCAGGTGGACACTAGCAAGGGTTCCCAGATAACCAATGCACGAGATGTAGGTCACCAAGATTTCTGACTGACTTGTTCACAAAAATTCCTGTTAGTGTTTCCTAAGTCTGTCAGACTTACAGACTATGACAAATAAAGCCTGCTTTCAATATGTGAATTAATTGTTCAATTACCATCAAAACTTTCATTGTTCGAATTGATTAATTAGGCAAATACAAATTCATTTGTTTGAGCTTACCTCCACAAGGCAAAAGCAATTTTTAAGGTTTATTAGATGATCACTGATACAACTTTTATTATTGCTTCCGGTTTACAATTCAATTTACTTGCAAAATACATTTCTGCAAAATAATCAAAGAGGACAACACCTACTCTTTGTAATTGATTTTTGTCAGTATTCATAGTTTTTTAAATTGTATCAATCATACGAGCTACATTTATTTACTTGTTGTGCAAACATGCACTTATTAAACCAACCTCTAGCTCTACTCACGGCGCCTTTGCAGTGCAAATTGAATATTATTCCTATTTTATCATTGTTATACAGGTAAGACCCTTTCGTAGCACCGTCGATAGAAGACAACATGATCCCATCATGGCAAAATATGGCAGAATTAGAAGTTATTATCAAATAATATTGCCATTTATGCTAGTGCTATTTATTTTGGGGTTCCTCTTCTTGTTGTGGGTAAGTCAGTCATCTAGTATGAATTATTACGAAACTAATATTAGAATAATTAATCTCCCTAAAAAATGAGGCCATTTATAGTATTTGCTTTAATTTCAATTTAAACCAGATTGCTTACTTAACGTTATGGGCTTCAGCATAGAATTCGTATGCTTAATTGAATACTACGAATATTGTCACTTAATTTAAAAGCTTGCGTGATCTGAGGGATGCACAGGCTCTGTTGATTAATGGAGAACGAAGTCATATCTCGCTCTGACCACGTCGTGTACGGCAATAACAACTGTTACCTGGCTTTCGAATTTTCTCCTGGCCTTTTGTATCAGATGTTTGAATGAGACAGGCGGAAAGAACGGTGTTATAAACTCTTTGACTCTCAGTCGTATCTAATACTGCACATAAACTCCATCATCTGTTACTACCCAAAAGCATTACCAGATCGATACAATTTTAAAAACCATCGCAATTTAGGTTGCCAAAAATGCACTCTAATGGTTACACGAACACATTCATGTCCAATCGGTAAAACTTTTATACGTAGTTTCTTCTATAATCGTTTTATAGCACATAAAATTGTTTATTTTATAAATGTGTACATAACTTTAACTTTTTAGTAAATTTCATGCAATTCAGCCCTAGGAGGCTAGTAATTTGAATATTTTAATAAACTGTCTATTTATCTAGTTATCTCGAAGCACAATTTTTTTTAACTAGCCGAAGCACGATCTGTTGCTTTTTCTTAAAGAAAGTAAATTAAAATGTAGTAGCCTTGTTGATCTTCCAAGTAATTATATTCAAACAATTATTCTTATTGTATGTTGTATAAGTGATAGTTCGACAAATAAGGCAATAGAGCTGAATATTCCAAAAACAATTGTGACACTTTCTCTTTCCTTATTGATTGTACAGCTATGGAATTTTTTAGAGGATTTGCAAGACAGCAGTGAATTTTACCCAGACGGTCTTACTAAATGTCCCCCAGAGACTTACACTGTTCATGAAGATGAAAGCGGAAGGATCAAATGTTTCGCTTGCCCTGTATGCCCTCCTGGGAAGGAACCTTCAGCACCGTGTGGTATTACATTGGATACAAAACCTGCTGGTGAATGCATACCTTGCAAACCAGGAACATATTCAGACAAAGTCGACAGTAGGTCCTGCAAGATATGCAGTGATTGTGAATCAAGAAACATCATTAGCTCTTGCACCACAGAGAAAAACACAGAATGTCAAGACTGTCCAAAGAGACACTACGAAGATGAAAAAACACACGGATGCAAACCTTGCTCTGGTTGTTGTCCAAAAAGTTATGCGGCTCAAATAGAATGCTTGATATCGAAAAAATGTAGAGAAAGTTGCGCACGGTCGACAAAAACAAGGAAATATTTGAATAAAAAGATTGCAAGATCTACGAATGCTATGAACAACGAAGCGTTAACGAAAGAACCCACTATGTCACTGAAGCAAAGTCGTATGAAAAATATGAGCCAATTTGACCAATTGGACTCCAACGACAAAAATGTTTCATTGACTATAGTAAAACGAGACTTGGAGGCCGAAGTTGAATCAAAAAGTGATCAGTCTTTGAACAACAGGGACAGCCAAACGGGAAAAAATTCCTACTGGGATGAACTAGAAGAAGAATTAGATTTTCTTAGGATTCCTCCCATTAAAAACATAAAGGAGGAGGAGGTTGAGCAGCCAATAACGGACCAAAGTAAAAATTCAAACCATCTTTTAACACCGAAAAGGAGATTCAACGGGACCAAAATTCCTGCGATTGAAGTGGAAGAGCAGGTTTCTTCTCAAGCGTCACTTGGAAAAAATTACATCACTTTTCAAACAACTGAGACTCCACTAAAAGAAGTAACAGAGTTGGGAGAGGTAACACCACACGATGACGCTGCGCAAAATGAATTCCTGAACTCGGCCCTCGGCAGCTTTGCCGGAACAATTTTAGCCGCTGTTTTTCTGGTACTTATGGGACTTCTCTTGTATACCTTATACAAAAAGTGTGTCTGCAAGATGCTACAAGACCCGAAGGAGTTAAAAAGAACGTCATCAGACTCCACAGAACCTCAAAGTACAGGTAAGAAGAATAATGGGTCAGAACATAAGAATATATTAATAGCAACTAAGTCGATACCACTATCTATCGAGATCTACGTCAAACTGAGAAAATTGCAACTATGCCACGCCGTTGTCATATCGTTCCTAGTGAGCTTTATTTCTTAGCTGCTTGTTCAAAGTAAGTTCTCTAAATAGTTTTCCTCTCGAAATATATTATTATATTTTCATGATTACTACTTAGGTTTCACCTTGGACAGTGCAGAAGGAGAAACTACCGATGAGACCCTCAACGAAGCAAGCACTGTTACAGTGTCACAGGGTAAGGAAACCAAGATCGGTTGTATCTGATCAACACACACGACACAAAGGCACCGAGGAAAAATCAATTTTCTCATTATGTCATTATGACTAGGTTGCTAGTTAGGTTGATATTAATTGATTATGTCTTCATATCAATATTCCTGACATACTATCACTATGTTGTACCGATGTGGTTATTTCTACTTTTTCACACTAGAAGATAGCGAAGGAATGACCTTGCCTTTTCATAACGCTTTTGTCGTTTTGTCTTTCTTTCATTGGTGCGAACCAGGCTTTCATGTAATTTACATGAACAAAGCATCACAATAAATCAAGACAGACAAAATTTTGACAGCTCGCGCTATTTGTAATTTGCACTCGTGTTACAACATTTGCACTCGCTTTCAGCCAATCAGAAGCGTGAAGTTTTTTCATGAACATTATCATCTCTGAAAAATCATAGATTTTAAAAATTCACTCCAACTCTATATTTGAAACAAGACACCAAAACATGACAGAAACAATACTAAAGAATTGAAATCGATTCTACCTTAGATCTCAATCTAGCAGATATGCCCCCAGACCTCCTGGATGAACTGGTGATGCGTCTGGATGTTCCACAGGGTGACGTACAGTCTGTACATCATAGCAGGACATTCGGTTGGCAGATAGTAGCAAACGCGGTTGGAATTCCTCCTACAGAATTCAAATACTATGAACACTTAGGAACTCTTAAAGATGAAAGCCCAACTAAACGATTACTTGAGAAATTGGGAAGTCAAGGAAAGACTATATCGGATCTTATTGCTGTACTCAACAGACCTAAAGTAAAACTTGGAAATGTTGCCGACACGATAATTCGGCACCGTGTGCCGAGGAACTAAAATGTGGTTTCCACGCATTCTTTAATGCAATTTATATTTTTATCTAAAGAAAATTTAAATGCAAAGTTGAAAGTTCAATTAAATGATACCACTTAATCAACGCGTACTTGAAAAGTGAGCGAATCCACACATTCATTTCAATCCACGTTAACTCCAGGAAGAAAGAAATGTAGCTTCTCTTGAAAAATTGTAACATTACAGCATAAAGCGGCCTTCTTTGGGAAAAAAGAAAACGAGCCTGCCCACCCCCTGCAGCTCAGTATATTCTGCAGTTCACTTTCAGTGCTCAGTTAAAGCGTCGGTTAAAATTTCTTCGACTGCCTGCAACCGTTTTCATACATGAAGACTGAAATGAATCCAAATTAAGAGCGTTCATTCCTGTCTTGCTTTTTGTCTAACTTTTTGTCCCGCACTTGATTTATTCCCATCGTTCTTCCACTGTTCGTTCCAACCATGAGTATTGAACACGATACATATGGGTAATTATCATGGGAAAAATAGAGTAGTAAAGAAGACACGTAAGATATTCAGAAAGACTTTCAAACTTAAGAAACATCAGCTTCTAGTACTATGCTTTATTAAAAAGTACTGAAGAATAACAGAAATAAATTAGGGTTTATAGCAAGTCGTTCATCAACAAGAGGAATAAATTAAGTAAAAGGATTGAAGAAGGTTCGGGCAAGCGAACAAAGTAAGAGCATATTGAATGTATGAGTAATTTGTATTACATACTCTTTCACGTTTATTAATATGCACAGTTAATTCTGATATGGAGGCAAGAGGATCATAATTGTTCTTAAGTCGTCCCCCCTCAAACTTCGGCATATGCATTGCATGCTGGTGCTAAATGTCCGTTATACGTCCTTTAAATGGCCTTTGCCGGCGAACGGACCTCTGCAAATTTCTTTGAAAGTTCGTGACAGGTTTAATTTACATGTCGAAAAAACCAACAAGTGCCCTTGATTGTCAGGTTCAGAATGAGGGCGAAATTATTATTCATTCCCTTATCGTTGAAATTGGTTTTGGTATCGTCTCAGATAGTAAAGGCAGTATAGAAAATGGGTGTTTTTGGGTTGTTTTTTGACAACTTTGTGCGTGAATAAACTGAACGTTTTGCTTACCCCAGATAGGTAAGTGACAAATGTAAGCAACATCTGATATGCAAGCTAATAACTTAAAAGCTCTTTGTGCTACTGGCCGAAAATTTAAAGTTGATCTCGTAGAACAGGAATGCAATTTAAAAACCTTGACGAGAAGAAAGATCAGACAGACCTCCTCTTCTTGACACTGCTAACGAATTTTCCATTACTGAAAATTAACTGAAAGAGGACTGCTGATGCGCAATTAATATCAGCCGCTGCCTTGATTTTATTTTCAGTGAGCAGTGGTGCTTTGTTCATTTCCATTCAGCTCAGTAGATTGGTCTTATACCGTGATGTTTCTGCAGGTTTGGAAAAAATATTGAATATCAGGTTCAGGAAGCAGAAAACATCATGAGCAGCGGTAGAGATTTGATTGCACTAATAATAACTTTGATTTGAGAATCGTTTAATGAGGGTTTAAAAACTTCTTAACACTATAAATTTGGGGAATTAAAATCAAGACTTCCGTTGGCACGTTATTACCGTTAACGTGTTCTTTGTTATGGCCCCCGCTAAACTTGCTGCGTGGGCTCTTTAAGGCAACTTTTAAGAACTTGGTGGCGTTACAAATTGATAAAATTTTTTCGAGGTGTGATGATTTTTTTAAAGATCTTACGTACATAGAACAAGAAGTACTTCAGGAAGTTTTGGATTGCGTGATTATCTTCTAAGTCCCTTAGCGACTCCGAGACTGCCCTACTGAAGAAAGGCCTGAAGTTCGTCGTAACTTCTTACTTCATACCTGCTACAGAGATTATGGCTAAAGTTGAATCAGCGATCAGACCACTCGATCCCGAACAAGCGGACATTGTCGGAAGAGCTTTAATGGAATCCTTCAACAAGCAAAACCACCAGAGCCTAACAGCTTTTTCAGCTTCTGTTGCTATGATACCAAAGGGGAGTCCCCAAAATGCCTGTAAAGGAATGGGCAATAGTTTCGATTTCTTGTGCTTCGATCACGCGAGGCATTCGGTAAATAGGTTGACGAAGATTTGGTTTTTACGTCGAACAAGTCATTGAATAATCGTTTAGTTCACAACAGTCAAATGGGGAAACATCATAAGGTATCAGTCTCCATTAGCGATTACTAATAAGAGCGTAACATAACTCTGAAAACATATTTAAACTCTGCGCTTTATATTTACATCTTGCATATACTAATTTTAATTTGATTCAAGCTTTAAGCCCTAGAAATCGTGCTGCTACAGACATATGTGCCGTTACATTTAAGTGAAAAGAATCTAAGGACTGAACAAAATGGGCTGATATTGGCTCAAATCAAGTTTCGTGATTCCAAAGAGGGTGACATGTATTTTAAATATTTGTAGAAGGAAGCACATTAACATATGAACATAGATATACGATACTCTAGGCTGTGCAATCAAGGACGTAACGCTAAATGCTGCTTGACGTTTATCAGTTCTATCGTCAATCCACCAATAATAACAATTTGTAGGTTACGCCTACATATACATGCATAGTGGACGATGACTTATCAAAGACTTCTTGGATCGTTTATGTCTCTAAAATGTCAGCACCTCGAACTCAAGTTCCTCGCCAGCTGTACTCCTCGGTCGATGTCACGTTGCTAAACTTTAATGCACCACTGTCGTTCTTTTCTAATTGCAGGATTCAATACTTCCCACAAATTCAAGAGGCATACAGTTAAAAGCAGATCCTATTTACACGATAAAATTTGACAGGGTAAAGCTATCTATTTGGTGGTCTACAAAGATTCTGGAGCTTATCAGGAAGTTTATCGCTATTGCCTTCATAACTTGCTTTGTAAGTGATAACTTACCTTTTTTCCACAATCTGCGCGCTTCATGAATTGAACAACTTGAGACAAATTGACAAAATACATCGAGTAAGTCACGGAAACAATTACATGCACTCAAATACCTTCCGTTTCACGCTATTTTAAAGCAGGATGTTGTGATTAAGGTTTGATGTTTCAAGTACACCTTTCGTTTAGATACATTTTATTTCGCCTCTCGGCGGCATCTCGTGGTCTGGTTACAGACACTCTTAATATCGTTAATTCTCCGAACTAGCAATTCAGAAAGCGATTCGACATCAGTCACATGGAAATGGTGAAAGGATCACAATCACTCATGATAATCATGAGACCGTCCATATTAAGCGAAAGGGCAAAGTACCATTTGGAAAATCACGTGCTCGTCATTTGCGCTCGGAAATGGCGATTCGCTGCATCCTGTTTGCCTTCTCTTCTTAAAAACTGAGCAACGTATAAGGATATGCTGTGGGCCACGAACTGCTTTTACTTGACCGAGTTGATGTCATTTGAGATAAAGGTGTTGAGAGGATGTTCAGCTCAACCTGTATTAAGCGGGATCGTATTAAGCTGTCACCGTGAGTACCGTCATTTTCACTTCTATTGCGGCGCCAACAGAACCAGGATCGGACCGGATCACGGATCGGATCACGGATCGGATCACGGATCGGATCACGGATCGGATCATGTTAAATAAAATTAAAATTTTGCGTGACAAGCCAAAATAAAGTCGCGTGACATAATTGAGCGCAGGTCCAACTGAAATTTTTATTTTTTTCGGCCCAAAAACCTCACGAATCGGATCACGGATCGAGGGAATGAAAAATTAAATTCTATTCAATAAAAATTAGAGATGCTATGTAACAAGCCAAAATAGAGTCTGCGAGACATAATGGAGGGCAGGCCCATTTGAAAGTTTTCCGCCCCAAAACTCCATGTAGTCACTTTCACAGATCGATTTTGTCGACGCCGCCTCTATTAAGTGGTCGTGGTCCCCCATGGCCTGTTTGCGTTGTCATTTACTTTTACCCAATGGTCACTTAATCCAAAACCACTTAAATAAAACTAAGAATAATCTCTCGATTCGAATTTGTACAATGTTTATATCCCGAAATCAATTTGACACTTTTGATTGTAGATGTCTCAGCGCAATAAACATAATCTTTCCTCTTGTGACTATTACTACAAAATGGCGGTTTTTATGGCGTTGGACCCCTATGCTATTCTGTGGAACCTGTATTTGGCAGTCAACCCTTTATTAAGCGGTTCCGCCATTACCCCGCCATTCTCCGTGAATGACCGCTTAATACAGGTTCGACTGCATCCATTTCAGAAGTGAGTCATATCTAATGGACAGAGTGCAATGTCTGGCCGTATGTTCACCTCTTACTATCCACTTAAACAGGTTTGGACTCTTTGGAACCTTCCCCAAGCTAACAGCTATCCAGATAGAACATGCCCAGCGTTATCATACCAAATTCTTGGTAAACAGAATACGACAATCAGATGCCAACCTTGCTCTGATTGTCCCCCAGGGCGACAACTTACTCCACCATGTGGTAGCAAAATACAGCAAAACGCCGTGATAGCTTGCACAGTATGCCCGTCGAATGCCTACAAGGATAGCCAAGGCCGAGGCATTTGTCTCCCATGCCAGAAATGTAGTCCGAAACAAACCATCAGTCCATGTTTAGCTTGGAAAAATGCACGATGTGGACCCTGCCCTCGTGGAACGTATCCTTGGAATAAGACAGAAAATGTTTGCAAAAAATGTTTTAAGTGTTGCGGGACGAAACGCCTTGCTACATTGGAGTGTATTAATCTAGGGCAATGTTTAAGAACAAACTGCACCCTAGAAATAAAAACCAAGGGAAGCGATCCTCAAATGTTGATTTTATATCCCCCGAGGCTTAACACTCCCAAGAGAAAGACACCCTCAAACTCAGGGCCAATTCAAAATGTCCGTAGCAGTAACACTTCAGAAAACCCATCAAAATCGGCATTTAATGTACAGGAGATGTTAAAAAGAACGAGGGTTACACGAGAGGTTCAACAAGCCCTGGAAAGAAGTGGAAATGAAATGGCTACCGAACAAACCCCTTCGCTTCCAAGCATTTCGCGCACTGCAGTAGCTAACGCCAAACATTCAAACGAGAGCT